ATATGAATTATTATCTGGCATAGGGTTTTGTTGCCAATCAAAATAGAAGTGTTGGGCTCAGTAGTAGTGCACTTATCAAGCAAGCATGAGCATGATCTCCAAAACTGCCTAAAGAAGGACAGAGAGAAAGAAGGAAGAAAAGAAAAGGGAATGGAGGGAAGAAAAGAGGGTTGGAGGGAGGTATGGACAGAGATGAAGTAAGAGAAGGAAGGAAGGAAGAAAAGAAGGAAGAAAGAACTTTTTACAAATCTGCCATGTCTGTTGACCTTTGTCATCATATCTGGTCTTTCATATTTCAGTGTTTGCTCTTCCAAGTTCCTGTCTACAATGCTGGATTCCCATCACCATTTTCTTGGTGTACCTTGCAGTGGTTCAGAGCAATTCCCTATCATGTACAATGTCTTCACTGACTCATGTACTTCTTTCTGTCCATGCTAGCAGAGACTGATTGTCATCTCTGTGTGACAACCACACTCACACTCACAGTACTGGGACTATTAAGACTATTCCACAATCACCCATTTGTGTGTCTCTGAACTCTATTTGCATCCCAGCTCTATTTACTCCATACTTTTTCTTTCCTGGAGTCAGCTAGGCTTTGACCTTGCCATATAATCACTTTGTAGCAACACTACCCCTCTGAGATATCTCTCACTGTTCACCAGCTCCTGGGTAGCAAGAATTGGAGTTGTTGAGAATTCAGAGAGTGTCGCTCACTATTCCTTTTGGTCTGTGTCTTCCCAGGTTTTACCTAATGTCATGAAAATTTTCTCATTCCTACTGTCTGCACCTCTCCTGATCACACTCAAGCAGCTCTCAGCTTTGTTGATACCATGGGTTCAGACTTGCTTTTCACATTGCTTTCTTAACATAAGATGCTCAAGTCTATAAAGGTCATTGCTCCCCCCACTCCCAGGTTTTTTCCTACTGAATATGTATCTCACATCATGGCTGTCCTAGTGTGTTGTGTCCCTGAGAGAGGGCTTTTTATCATTTAACGTTTACAAGGCATTCCTCCCTCTTCATTTTGATTAT